TTTCTTCCATTTGTTTTAGCATCTCTATGTTGGAGAGCAAGTTTCAGAGTCTCTTCTGACATCCACTTTGATCTTTTCCTTCTTTTCTTTCTTGTCTTCTTAACAACCTTTTGTTTTCTTCCTGTATGATGTTCTTGATCCAATCCCACAACTCTTCTCGTCTTCAATCTTTAGTGTCTAATGCATCAAATCTGTTCTTCAGATGATCTCTAATTTCAGTTGGGATATATTCAAGATAATATTTTGGCTCTAGTGGACTTGTTTTAATTTTCTTCAGCTTTAGCTTGAATTTGCATATGAGCAATTGATGGTTTGTTCCACAGTCTGCCCCTGGCCTTGTTTTGGTTGACGATATGAAGGTTTTCCACCGTCTCTTTCCACAGATGTAGTTAAGTTGATTTCTGTGTACTCCATCTGGTGAGGTCCATATGTACAGTCCTTTGTGTTGTCTGAAAAAGGTACATGCAATGAAGAATTTATTGGTGTTGCAAAATTTTATCATGAAATCTCCAGCATCATTTCTATCACCAAGGCTGTTTTCCAACTACTGATCCTTCCTTCCTCTTTGTTTCCAACCTTTGCATTCCAATTGCCAGTAATTATCAATACATCTTGATTACATGTTTGTTCAATTTCAGACTGAAGAAATGGGTAGAATTCTTCAATTTTATCATCACTGGCTTTAGCGGTTGGTGTGCAAATTTAAATAATAGTGCTATTAACTGGTCTTCATTGTAGGCGTGTGCATATTATCCTATCACAGATAGCACTGTACTTCAAGACAGATCTTGATATATTCTTTTTTTTTTTTAATTCATAGAACTTTTTTTAAAAAAATGTTTTATTATGAATTATGTGATAGTTTACATGGGAGAACATTAGTTTTGCATTCATCCTATCGTATATTGTTTCATTGCCATGGTTACAATCCCCTCCATGCATCATCAACCAACCAAAGGGTATATCCTACAAGCCTGACCCCCCGCCCCTGACCTTCCCCCCCCAGCACACAGGCCCTCTCCCTCTCTGGGTCTAAAGTCCGCAGTTTTGCTCCATCTCTCCACGTCATCCTCTCTGCCTCTGTATCAGGCATCACTGCTTCTCTGGGTAGGGTCCCGCTCTTTGCTCTTCTCCCTTGATGGTCCCAGGGACCTCTGCTTCTAGACTGCAAAGTTAATCACTCCCCTTCTTGCTACAAAACATCTACCTTTACATTTCCAATCGTCACAATCAGTCCTGATAACAATTATTCACTAATGTATCACAAGAGACCTATCTGCATTTCCTTTCATCAGCCTTGCCGAAACAGATTGGATACTACTCAGTGGAGATTCTACCTTCCTCCAGGCCCTCTGGATCTAGGTTCCCTCTTAAAAGCTTGTAAGCCAGTCACTTTTTGCCTTTGTAGCCTCCCCCACCCCCCATTTTGGGTAGCCAATGTCCAAGTTGCCCATCCCTGTCTACTCTGTATATGGAGGGGGTAGAAATGATGATATATTCTTTGTGATGATGAACGTAATACCATTCTTCTTCATGTTGTCATTCCCAATATAGTAAACCATGTGATTGTCAGATTCAAAATGGCCAATACCAGTCCATTTCAGCTCACTAATGCGTAGGATATTGATGCTTATCCATTTCATTTTTGACAATTTCCTATTTTCCTAGATTCATACTTCATGCATTCCATGTTCTGATTATTAATGGATGTTTACAGCTGTTTCTCATCATTTTGAGTTGTGCCTCATCAGCAAATGAAGGTCTTGTGGGCTTTACTTCATTGAATGTAAAACTTTTAATCTGCTCTGCAAATCTCCAGTCAGTCAGCCATCTTGTTCAACTCTACTTTGAGGAGGCAGTTCTTTGCCAGTCGCAACCTTGATCGGTCACTTTGTCGTATTGTGGTGGTTTGTGTATTGCTGTGATTCTGGAAGATATGCCATTGATGTTTTAAATACCAGATAGACTTATTTCAGTTGAACTTCCAGACGAAGACAGACTAGGAAGAAGGAGCAACAGGCTACTTCAGAATATTAAGTCACTGAAAACCTTATAAATAGCAGTGGAACACTGTTAGCACCAGAATGTTGAATATTGAAACATGATGAAAAGCACCAGAATACTGTCAGATATAGTGCCGGAAGATGAGCCTCTCATGTTGGAAGGCACTCAAAATGGAAACTCAACCAATGTCAGTAGCTGGGATTAGCACTTCTGTGCTAGTTTCATTCCCATAAAGGATCTCTTCAAATGATTCTCTCCAAACTGTTCTCTACTCTGGCTCTACTATTTTGTATTCCCAGTGGAGAAGTGTTCATCATAATCAATACTTACTTGACCATAAGGTTGATTTGAACTGCAAGGTCGGTGGTTCAAACTCACCAGCCGCTCCTCAGAAATCATATATAGGTTTGCTATGGGTCAGAACAGACTTAACAACAATATATCCTTTACTTTGGATTGGGCATTATTCTATGTATGAAGACATATGAAGGCCTGAAACAGGGTGATGGGAGAATCAGTAGATAATCCTGGTGCAGAGTTCATAAGACTTTGTGACTGATACAATATGATTGATGAGTTAGAATAGTGGTCATTTAACAAGTTCAAGCTGATGCTCTTCCAGTTGAGCAATGCCAGTAGAAAGAACAGCCCTTTTTCTCATGTTTCATCAAAGGTCTCAGACTTATACTCATTCCTTCTGCTAGACTGGCTTGAGCCACCTGCCAATCACTGATCAAGGGAAATGAAATTGTACTGATCAACCAGAGTCACTGTTCATACCTGGAGCCAGAGTTGGAAAAGGATAATTTTCACTTATTACCAACGTGCTGTTACCAGAAGGAGATAGAATAAGAGGATGCTCGGCAGGCAAAAGCAACAAATGACTACTGTATTTGTTCCCAGACTAGTGGAGGGATGGGATGTGCAGAAATCACAATAACGTATAGCACAATCCGACAAATGCAGAATGAATACTGTGGTGAGTTCTTGAATGAGAGGGACCCTGAGCTGATGTTGCAAGTCTTTGATAGGTGGGGCCACTGAGGAGGGAGGGCATGAACAGGCAGGAGGAGGCAGTAAGTACAGAGAGTGTTCAAGATGCGTACCCATGACTAGAGCAATGGGTGCAAAGGAGCCAAGGCTGGAGAGGGGTATGGGGACATGAGCTTGAGTTTCATCCCAAGGACAATGAGAAACCTTTGAAGGTGAAGCTGGAGAGACAGATGTTATACCATGCAGAGGAGCCAAGGCTGCAAAGGAGCCAAGGCTGGAGAGGGGTATGGGGACATGAGCTTGAGTTTCATCCCAAGGACAATGAGAAACCTTTGAAGGTGAAGCTGGAGAGGCAGAGGTTATACCATGCAGATCTTTGCAGACCATTTTGAGGATTTATGGTTTGATCCTGAGGGTACTAGACACAGGGAAGGATGCGATCAGAATTGTGCTTGAGAAATAGCAGTCGGCATTCTGAAGATTGGCCTGGGCAGAGAGAAGCCTCCAGAAGACAGAGAAGCCTTAGATAAATATGTTGTTATTAAGTGCTGTCGAGGCGATTCCGACCATAGCAACCTGTATAGGGTTTCCAAGGAACAGATGGTGAGCTTGAACCTCCAACTTTGCAGTTCTAACAGATTTGCAGTCTGGCGCATTAACTCACAGCACCACACCAGGACTCCATAGATAAACACAGATATAGATAAAATAATTGCCAACCATCACTAATGTTATTGTTAAGTGCCGTCGAGTCGGTTCCGACCCATAGCGACCCTGTACAGGGTTTCCAAGGGTGTAAATCTTTACGGGAGTAGAAAGCCTCATCTTTCTCCCACGGAGCGGCTGGTAGTTTCGAACCGCTGACCTTAAGGTTCGCAGCCCAATTCGTAACCACTACGCTACCAGAGCTCCTTACTCAATGCCAAATTTCCTATCACCATAAACAGAAAGACAGTGTTTCCTAAACAATTATTCCCCCTCTCCCCTTTCCTCCTTTTCCTGGAAACCACTACTAAACTTTGGTCTCTATACATTTGCCAATTCTAGGGATTTCCTATTAGTGAGATCATACAATATTTGTCCTTTTGTGATGGATTCATTTCACTTAGTATAATATTTTCAAGCATGTAGCAAGACATTTATTTTCATAGCAGAGTAATACTTGGCTGTGTAGATGTGCTACATTTTGTCTATCCATTCATTCACTGATCAGTGTTAAGGTTGTTTCTATCTTTTGGCTACTGTGAGTCTACTGCAATGAACATTGGGTACATGTATCTCCTTGCATTACTGCTTTCAAGTCTCTTGGGTACATATTATTATTACTGGAGTCTTGGTAGTGCTGTGGATAAGGGATTGAGTTGCTAACCTCAGTTGCTTAAAGGGAGAAAGATGAAAGCGTAGGGTCCCATAAAGAACATATTGTTGTTAAGTACCGAAGAGTCATTTCCAGCTCTTAGTGAGTGACAGGGTTCCCGAGGTGGGTTTGAACTGCCTACCTTGTGGTTCGCAGTCCAGTGCCAATCCTACACTACCACATCAGGAGTCTTCAATTCTTCCCTTGTCAATGTTTATTAAATGCTGAATTTTTATTCTTTTTTTTAGGGTGAAAGTTACCTTGATTATATAATATAGTTATTGGTCTAGAAAAATCTTCACTGTCCAGTTCAATAACCACATGTGGCTGTTGTTAGTATCATCCGGGTTCCTATCACAATAAAAATAACTCCATTTCGTCCAAGTCTTGCAAAAATGTTGTGGGATATAAACGCTCATAGGAGAGGAAATTGAGGTTCAGAGAGGGGAGACAATTTAATCAAGGTCACATAGCGAGAGGGGTCAGTGTAGAGAATAAAATCTAGTTTAAAGATTTAGACAACGCACTCAGGGCAGCGAGTGGGTGGGGCTCAAGCTCGCCCTCCAGCCTAGATCCAAAATGGTGGGGGCAGTGGCGTCAGCAACGCCCCCGCCTCTTCCGTCCACCTCCCTCCTTCTTCTCCTAGGCCACCCAGGCGGGGGGAGGGGATGTAATAGAGCAGCCCACGTGACATCCGACAACCCGACGCGTGACGCGAATCGGCGGGCCAAACGCTCGCCCTGCCTTGTGGGAAACGTAGTTCAATAGATCGCCAAGTCAACAAGGACAGGAGGATCTAGGACTACATTTCCCAGGAAGTTGCGGACGCCGCCGCCGCCGTCGTCGTCGGAGAGCGGGGACGCGGGCCGCACTGTCGGGCGGGGGCGAGGATCGGGCCGGTTGTGCCGTTGCGAGGCTGCAGCTGCGATTGCTGCTGTGGGCCCAGGTGAGTAAGCGCCTTCGATGGGAGTTAGGGCAGCTCAACCGGCTCCAGTCATCTCGTCTTTTATCTTTTCTCAGCGGCGGCTAGGTCAGGTTCCCGGGAAGGTGTGGCGCGATGTGGAGCCGATCCTCCGCGCTTACCCCCTTGGCCTCTGCTGAGCGGGCCTTGCTCCCTCCGGCTCCTCCCTCTCCCCGCCCTTTAGGGCTTCCCCTCGCTCCGGCCTGGCTTCGGAGGCCCAAGGCCGCCTTCTCTTCTGAGCAACTCCCATCCTTCTTTCTGCTTTTCTGCAATATGCCGGGGGACACCTTCCTCTACCTCTCCCCCTTTTGGTCATACGAACCCCGTTATTTGGATTTCTCCTTTTCCTGAAACTCTTGAGTGCCCTTACTTTTCACTTCGTTTCCCTTGGCCTGGTTTTCTCTAGGGCGCATGTGGCTGGTAGTCCGTAAACGTTATTGCCTCTTCGTTCGTCTCTGCCTTGTGGCCAAAGGGGGCATAATCCATATTTATCTGCTACAAGAATAATACTGCTCCCGGTTCCTTACTCCATTTCTATTTCAGTCTCCTGGGCCGACTTGCATTTCAGTACTTATTGGCGTCGGTTCTGCTTATACGACGCTATTTTCCTTGCTTCTCGAAGTACCTAAAAAACTTTTATCAGCCATTCTCTTTGCTTTCCTAAATCTCGGGTGGAGCAAGGCAGCAGAAGCTGGCGAGTTAGCCCTGTGCCCAGAAGTTGGAAGCCATCAGTGGGTATACTGTGTTTACGGGGAGATTGTTAATTGGTTTGAAGAGAAAATCTCTGAGGGATTAGAAAGCTGTGGCAGGAAAGAGCCAGTGAAGTTTAAGGTGTCACTGTAACAGAAGGGTCTTGGAGAACGCCTGCCTGGGCTCTGCTAGCTTGTGATTTGGGGGTCAAGGGACTTCACTTCCAGGTGGCTCAGTTTTCTTAATCTGCAAAATAGCGGTAAATAACAGGGGCCGCTTTATAGGATTGTTGTGAAGATTAAGATGAACCGAAAGCCACTTAGCTCATCACCTGGCACATATTAAACACTGGATATTATTATTAGAGTGCAAAGTCTAAGTGCTCGGCTGCCAATCAAATGCTTGGCGGTTCTAACCCACTCAGTGACTCCAGGGAAAAAGACCTGGCATTCTCCTTCCTTCAAGGTTACAGCCAAGAAAACCCAGTGAGCAGTTTTCTGTCACACAGGGTAGCTTTAAATCAAATTCGGGCTAAGTGCAGTCCAGTCGGTGCCAACTCATAGCAACCCTGTATAGGGGTTTCCGAGGAGCTGCTTGTAGGTTTGAACCATCGACCTTGTGGTTAGCAGTCCAGTGCTTATCGTACAGCGCCACAGAACCCTATGCGGGGTCGCTATGAGTTGAACGGTTTCCACGTACTTAACTAGGCCTAGAATGGGAGACATGTATTACATTGTTTTTTTTTCCCTTTCAGGTGGTTCCCCCTCCCATTTTGTTTTGTTTGTGAAACTAGTGTCTTCTTTGTATGCTTTCCTGTTGTCTTGGCAGCCTGATGTGTATATTATTGTATAGAAACTTGTTACAGAGCCAAAAATAACTGCTCCCATGAACAACATTTCAAGCAAATTGTGCTGTTTGTTCCTTGCTAAGAGATGTGTTTTTGGAACTAATACGTTAGGAGTGTTAAAAGCACATTTTACTGAAACCATTTAGTCTTGATTGCATTCTGTTAAAGATGTGAATTGAAGTTGCTGTAAGAAATTGTTCAAAAGTTTTTATGTCCAATAAAATTAACCTTGTCCCCACAAACTTTTTAGCACAATGAAAATTCTGGTTTTGGAGACGGATAGTTGAAGCCTTGTAGACTAGGTATACAGTCCAATTTTAGCAATAGGAGTCCTGGTGTGGTGCTGTGGGGAATGCATTGGACTGCAAGGTCTACTTGAATGAACTGCAAAGTTCACTATGCAGGGTCGTCGCTATGGGTGGGCACTTAACAACGGTGGTAGTAGTAATAGCAACAGCAGAAGTAGTAGTTCTGTAGTGTATTTCTTCGAAACTGTATTCACATACTATGTGAATTTTATTTAGTGAAATTCTGGGGTACAAAAAAGAGTAATCTGTTCTATGCTGAGAAATTAGAAGGAAGAAGCTTGAAGTATTTCTGAGGTTAGCAATGAGAGGAGGAAGAATGAGATAGACTGGTAGAATGCCTAAGATACAGGATTTATTATTTTTTAGAATGAATGGTCTTAATTAACCACTAAGAATCCTAGGATGCTAGCTTATTTTGGACATAGTGATATCTTGAATTAAGGAAGTGTGTGGTTAGTACTGTTTTCTCAAATACTAGAGTTTGATTGATTATACACCGATTCTGTAAACATCTAAGATTGATTGCTTCAGCAGTAGTGTCTGAGGGCTACCATATACCCTGTGCTAGGCTATGAGTCGGTTCCGACTCGATGGCACCTGACAACAACAACAACAAGGCTTTGTGTACAGTGGGTTATGAGACAGATGACTTCTTGTTTTTTGGGAATTTATAGTATAAAAGTGATGGGGAGACATCAAAAGACACTAAACGGGGAGAGTTAAAGGTGGTCAGAGAAATTCTTTTTGGAGAGCATGAGCAGTCAGTTTTGTAGGATGTCAAGGAGAGAGCATTCTAGGTGCAGTTGCAAGTGCAGACATTCAAGGGTGGGAAGAATTTAGGGGTGTTTTTGGAGCTGAAAGGAGTGTGGTTGATGCCTAATGAGGATGAATTGGAGAGATAAGCAGAGGTGAGATTGTTTAGAGAAGCCATTTGAAGAGCTGTGGAGGGGAAGTTGCCATCTGATTTATATTATGTATCACTTTCACAGAGGTTTGGAAAATGGATTGTAGGGGATATTAGCTACTACTCCAGGCTGGATATGGGAATGTCCTGAATTGGAGTGATGGAATGAAGTGTAGAGGGTTTTAGAGTAGGGTTAATATTCTCTAGAGCAGAACATTCTTTTTTTTTAAACAATATTATTGTTGTTAAATACTGTAGAGTCGGTTCTGACTCCTAGTGACCCTGCACAGGGTTTCCGAGGTTGCAAATCTTTACAGGAGCAGAAAGCCTCATCTTTCTCCCATGGAACAGCTGGTAGTTTCAAACTGCTGACCTTGAGGTTAGCAGCCGGATATGCTTACCAGAGCACCTTTTTTAATAGCGGTTTATTTTTGGCTTCAGAATTCTCAAGCTCTGGTTGAACTATTAGGAACAAGCCTCTGTGTACATGATCACCATTCTTTTATGACTGCCTTAGATCTCTCCTTATTTATCATATTCTATTCAGGAGCTCTGGTAGAGTAGTGGTTACGAATCGGGCTACTATCCTCAGGGTCAGCAGTTCGAAACTACCAGCTGTTCCACGGGAGAAAGATTAGGGTTTCTGCTCCTGTAAAGATTTACAGCCTTGGAAACCATGTACAGGGTCACTATTAGTCAGAACCGACTCCACAGCACTTAACAACAACATTCAGGAGCTAGAGGTCAGGGAGGAGCCTGCAGCTGTTCACAAAGAATGCCCCAAAGACTGTTAGGTGAGATGCTATTTCTGGGAAAGGTCTGTGAAACCAAGGTTCCCATGATCAGATAGTTTCAGGAAATAACTATATCCACATCTTGGCCATACACAATTTAAATGTCCGCTGGCATATGAAAGGGCCTGGAAGTCCTGCTGTACTAACTTCCTGCGGACCTCTGTTCTTCAGATTGCAGAGAGCAGGACATTCTTAATTTATGATCCATGGACTCCAAGAGGTGACATTTTTGTGAGAGGGGTGCATTTTCTTAAAGGGTCTTTACCTTTAATAACATTCATTAGAGTTTCAAAAAATTTTAAGAACCACTGCTCTAGAGTCTGTAATGCAGGTTTACAACCCATAACAGGGTAGTAAGAGATGTGTAGCCTTTTTAAGACATTTATTTAGACTTTGAAGGGTCTATCTATTCTGTTTTTCTTTTTTTAGGAGAAATATGGAAGTTAAATGTTGTAGGATATAAATAGTCTTAAGTTTTTTGTTTTTTTAAAGAGAAGGAGCTGATTATACACAATTTAATGAAAATTAGTCAGAATCCAGTTTTCAAAAAATGGAAAAACAAAACAAAAATCCCTTTCTTAGTGTTTTCTAACCCTGGATTTTGGTTATGGTTCTTATTTAAGTGGTTGAAATGGAGCCTCCCTACTGTGTGGAGTCACATGACTTCTTTCTTTTGTACAATAATTAGGGGCTCCAGAGCTAAATGGTCATGTGTTTTGTAGTATATTTTAGATATATTACAATGCTAGGTGATAGTGTCTTTTTGGAACCATATGATGTGCATTCTGGACTGAAGTATTGCTCTACCCCTGAAAGAAACATATTGTTGATAAGTACCGTGGAGTTGGTTCCAACTCATAGTGACCCTGCACAGGATTTCCAAGGCTGTGAATCTTTAGTTTTCTATTTATAGCAGAGCTTGAAGCCTGAAGGTGTGTGGACTAAGTCCAGTCTACAGATCTGGTTTTTTGTTTTTGTTTTTTTTTGGTCCATATGGTGTTGTAAATTTGAATTCATTGTCAGCGTTTAAAAACAGGGCGATTTCATATGAAAATGCGAATATAGACTGTTCTTGAAAGATCAAACTTGGCAGCTGTGGGCCTGCACTTCTACTTTTGTGGCAGCCATCTTTTGTCATTGGGCATGTCTTTTCCAGTTTGCCTCCGACCCCACCACTGCTGGACATGTATCCCTGGCAAGGGGCAGTGATGGTTGGTATTTTACATATTCCTTGTCTGTTTGAGACATTTGAGTTTGCTCTTAATCTGTTCTGGACAGATGATGCAGGTCTCTATTACCATCATTCAAATTTACTCTGGTCTCTTAACCATCACCTTTTTTTTTTAATGTTTTTATTGAGAACTGAGTGATAGTTTACACGGGAGAATATCAACTTTATGCCATCGCTTCATTGCAGTGATTACAAGCTTCTTGGTGCTTCATCATTCAACAGTATTTGCTTATATTTCCTCTGATTTTTTTTTTTTCTTTTTGGGGGGATGCATGTGAGGTGACGTACCCCAATACACTCAGGAATATATAATAATTTAAACAACCAAAGGGCATATTCTGCAAGCCTGCCTCCTGGCTGCCAGCACCTAGTCCCTCTCTTTGCATGAGTCCAGAGTCCTCAGCTGCTCCCTCTCTCCATGTCCTCATCTCTTCCTCCATCTCTGGAACTATCACCATTTTTGTTGTCTGTTTTTGTACCTTATTTCTTTCCTTTGTTCTGAAAAGAAATTTAGGTAATTTGGTGAGAGAGAGGTGAAGCCAAGGGGTAGGTGAGAACCAAAATAAGGAGTTGTTTT